GCATCACTAATGCATATAACTTTACCAAACCAATTTTCACTGGAGTTTGCCCAATGTCAGACGACCCTGGGAATTACGAATTATGGGAGCTTCGTTTGGGAGACTTTGTAACAGCATCCTGTTACAATCATTTCTTTTTTTTAATCACAATCCAAATTCAGTGCTGTATCAAGCTTGAATGTTGTGTCCATACTTGCCCCAACTGTTCAGGGTTCGACCTCTGCGGTCTTATCAAATTTTTATTTCTATTTTTTCTATTTATAGTTTATAGTTGAGTAATCCTCACTCTGAGGCGCATTACGGATATTGACCCATTTGGATCATATCTGGGAACCAGTAGGTAAACAGGACCAGTTGACAGTTCTCATCACTTGATATCTTCCTTTGTTTAACATGTATAACAAATGTATAGTTTTGCGTTAACTTCTCCTCTGAAATTACTCAGACAACTGGAACCAAACTTGTCCTCAGTCATTTCTTTGGGTAGCTTAAGTTTAAAAAAGGTATGTTGGATTCTCAATCCATCCAACCAACTTTGCCACCAAGGGTTAAGATAGTACATATGGGGTAAGATATTTATATGAAAATTATTATAATTAGAGAAATCTGATAATGCAGAAATATTTAGAATGTCCAGATCTACCATATATATATATATCTACCATGTCTACATGCAGCTAGTCTTTCTTCTACAAAAATTGTCAGACAACTCCTTATTGGAGTTATTCCCCTTAAATGACAATATTTTTCAGTTTTTGCTATTTCATTATATTGGAAACTCCAATAAATAGAGAAAAACTGAAATGTAAAAGTATCATCTTCACTAGCCAAGGAATATGATCCTGTCCCTCCTCTCAATAGTATCATCTTCACTAGCCAAGGAATATGATCCTGTCCCTCCTCTCAATAGTATCATCTTCACTAGCCAAGGAATATGATCCTGTCCCTCCTCTCAATAGTATCATCTTCACTAGCCAAGGAATATGATCCTGTCCCTCCTCTCAATAGTATCATCTTCACTAGCCAAGGAATATGATCCTGTCCCTCCTCTCAATAGTATCATCTTCACTAGCCAAGGAATATGATCCTGTCCCTCCTCTCAATAGTATCATCTTCACTAGCCAAGGAATATGATCCTGTCCCTCCTCTCAATAGTATCATCTTCACTAGCCAAGGAATATGATCCTGTCCCTCCTCTCAATAGTATCATCTTCACTAGCCAAGGAATATGATCCTGTCCCTCCTCTCAATAGTATCATCTTCACTAGCCAAGGAATATGATCCTGTCTCTCCTCTCAATAGTATCCTCTTCACTAGCCAAGGAATATGATCCTGCCCCTCCTCTCAATAGGAGGCTGGATTGTAACTCTTGGCTAGCAAAGACAATCAAAAATCTGCAGGACAAAGATTTACAAATAGGTCAACACATGGTCAACATGGCTAAAATTCTGTCGACTCCTTATTGCTCTTAAAAACAATAATGTTTACCCATTTTTTAAGTTCAATTTGTTTATAAACAATATTTGATAGAGAGAAACTGAAATAAAGAAATAAAGATCAACAGGACAAGATCTACAAATAAGATAAAATGATTGTTTGTACAGGTCAGAGTTATCTTTCTTTGCACTTGTGTTTAAAGTATTTTATGATTGTGTTTTGTAGGGTCTTTAGGGAGCTTCAATTTGATTTTTATGGGGGGCTAGGATGAAAAATTTTGTCCTGCATTTTTTTTGTAGTTGTAATCTCTGTCCTGCCTTTTTATTTTTCACTCTATTCGGTCCTGCCTATTTTTTTATACGACCGCAAAAAAATTTTGAGGTCGTATATTGGTATGACGTTGGCGTCGTCGTCGTCGTCCGGCATCGTCGTCCTAATACACAATGGTTTTCGCACTCTAACTTTAGTTTAAGTGAATGGATCTCTATGAAATTTTACCATAAGGTTCAATACCACAATAGGAAGATGGGGATTGATTTTGGGGGTTATGGTACCAACAGTTAAGGAATTAGGGGCCAAAAAGGGGCCGAAAATAAGCATTTTTGTAACTTCCAGACATAACTTGTGTGTTAGCATATGGATCTCTTTGACATTGTACCACAAGATTCCATATCACAAAGGGTCAATGCTGGGATTGATTTTGGGGTTAATTGCCTCAAAATTTTAGGAATAAGGGGCCAAAAGGGGGCAAAAAACAAGCATTTTTCTAGTTTCATGACAATAACTTGTGTGTAAGTGTATGGATCTTTCTGAAATTTTACTACAAGGTTCCATTTCACAAAGGGAAAGCTGGAATTGAGTGTTGTGGTAATTGCCCAAAACGTTTAGTAATAAGGGGCCTAAAAAGGGGTTTAAAATAAGCATTTTTTAGTTTCTAGACAATAACTTGTGTTCAAGTGTATGGATCTCTCTAAAATTGTATTACAAGGTACCATACCACAAAGGCAAGGCTGTTATTGAGCTTGGTTTGGGGGGAAAGGGGGGTGGGGGTGATGAATCATAAGGGGGGCGGGGGTCAAAAAAGGGGTAATTTTTTTTTTTTCCTTTTTTTTTTGTTTAAAATTTACATTTTAAGTTAGTTATTTTTTATCACGAAGAGAAAGTAGGAATTGAGTTTTGGGGTTAATTGCTCAAACATTTATGAATAAGGGGCCAAATATTGGTCGAAAATAAGGATTTTTTTAGTTTGCAACAAAAACTTGTGTTCAAGTGTATGGATCTCTGTGAAATTGTATTGCAATGTACCATACCACAAATTGAAGGTTGTGATTGAGGTGGGGGATGATGAATCAAAAGGGGGTTGAAAAAATGTGTGGGGGGTAGGATTTTTTTTTTTCCTTTTTTTTTCTTTAAAATTTTCCATTTAAAGATGGTTGTTTCAGATTTATATATGAAAGAAAATAATAATGATACGGTTATATATCATGAGGAATTGAAATTTAAAATTATGTATATTGGAAATTTAGGTTACATTGGAAAGTAATAATTGGCTTTGGGGTGGGGGGGGGGGGGGGGTGGTTATGGCTCTAATGTTTAAGGAATAAGGGGAAAAAAGGTTAAAAAACAAGGGTTTCCATTTTAATAGACAAATAATTGAGTAAAGAACATTATTTAAAAGCAGTGTAAGGTTGGTAATTCAAACTCATTTAAATATCTCATCTACACTGCTTTTAAATTATGTAAATTGGAAATTTGCCAATAACTTTATTGTTAATAAATGCATTGGAAATTTGCCAACAATTTTAGTGTAATAAACTTCATTGGAAATTTGCCAATATAAAATTTTGCTGATGAAGGTTTTTTGTTTACCTTTAGCCTTGACTATGAAGTCATTTTCTATTTTTATAGCCTTATGATGTAGTTGAATTATTTAATACTTTTATGATGTGTTTAAATGGGGTTTTATCATGTTTATGGTTGCAAATTTATTGTTTTAGTATAATAAACTCCATTTAAAATTTGCCAATAAAAAAAAATTTTGTTTATTTTTAGCTATGATTATGATGTCATTTTCTATTTTACTTTTATGGTTGCAAAGAAATTTTTATTTTTAGATATTACTGTTAAATGATGCTGATTAAGGTTTTTGCTATGTTTAGCCATGACTATGATGTCATTTTCTATTTTAATATCTGTTATGATGTATTTAAATGGGCTTTTATGGTTACAAAGGAATTTTATTTTTAGATATTACTATAAAATGTTGCTGATGCTGATTAAGGATTTTGTTTATTTTTAGCCATGACTATGATGTCATTTTCTATTTTAATACCTTTATGATGTAATTTCCATTTTTAGATATTACTGTTAAATGATGCTGATTAAGGGTTTTTTGCTATGTTTAGCCATGACTATGATGTCATTTTCTATTTTAATATCTTTATGATGTATTTAAATGGGCTTTTATGGTTACAAAGGAATTTTATTTTTAGATATTACTTTAAATGTTGCTGATTAAGGATTTTTGTTTATTTTTAGCCATGACTATGATGTCACTTTCTATTTTAATACCTTTATGATGTATTTAAATGGGCTCCCATGTATTTAGATTTTTGATTATTTATACATGTTACCAAATTGGTCCACATTGAACAAAAACGGTCCAAATTTCAACTTTATTACATTACATCAAACATTGAATTCTACATATTCTTTGATATATTGAAATTAACAAACAATTTAGTTTATGGATATTCCACCATAATAGGTAAATTAAATTTTTTCCAGTTCTTACACCACATTCATCATGTGTCAGAAACCTATGCTGTGTCAAATATTTAATGACAATCCAAAGTCATAGCTGTATCAAGCTTGAATTTTGTGTCCATACTTGCCCCAACTGTTCAGGGTTCGACCTCTGCGGTCGTATCAAGCTGCGCCCCAGCGAAGCATTTTATTAAAGTTTATCCTGACTTTTTTTTACCTAAATTGTCATCCTGACTTTTTTTTTTGCAAGTGTCTCATCCTGCCTTTTTTTTTACTCAAAACTCCTGTCCTGCCTATTTTATTCAAATTTCATCCTAGCCCCCCCCCCCCCCCCCCACCCCCCACCCCCATAAAAATCAAATGGTAGCTCCCTTATATGAGACAAAGTTACTTTGTGATGTCACCTTTGACCTTTAATAAAGAATCCACATATCTTTACAACCGAGTGATTGTTATACTCATGCCTATTTCCACCCGGTTTCATATCAACATCATTGGAGCCTCTAGTTACTATTACCATATCATATTCATGTTTCAGTGACATCTTTTAATTTTTGCAGGAATACATGAACCATTAAGTAACAATGATATAGGTTTCTATTGTAAAACGAATCTGAAATCATGGCATCTCTTTCTGAAGAAGAGGAGAATTATGTCCGATTAGCATTGTTATTGAAAGGAGTGACACCTAGAGCAGTCCGTACTTATTTTGACAGAGGATTTCCACCTACCTCTCTACCCTCAACACTAAGTACAAGCAACAACACTCTTTTGGACTTAAAAGTAAAGGTGAATCATAAACCAGGCTCAGTGGAATCTTTTGATTCCAAGAAATGGTAGGTCTTTATGTGACTGCAGAAATTTTGTTTATTAAGATTTCATTAACATGTGGTTCACAAATTTTTTTTCTGGTGATGGCTACTAAACAAAAAATTTTATTAATTAATGAACATCTTCAATATTTTTTTCATTACTAATTTCTTTTTACATACTTGTTGCTTAATTAAGTTCACTTCTGTATGTATGGCCTAGATGTATAAAGGAACAACACTTGAGTGAGTGTGTTCTATGTTGAATCCATAAAAATGGTTGCAGTCAGGGGCATTACTTAAACAAGTAACTTTTCAAATGTACCGTTATAATATTGTATCATTTTTGTCTCGCCTGTGATGAAAGTCGCAGTAGCAGTATGTAAGACATAGGTATTACATTAGGGTGACGACGTTAACTATTTGTTTATATTTCAGAAGGTAGAAGACCTACATGCTTCATACCTTGTTTGCAGATACCTTATATTAAGAAGTTTCCGTCTGTCATACGTCTATTGTCCTTGACCTCATTTTCATAGTTCAGTGACTGCTTAAAAGAAAAATTGAAGTTTTTGTCTTGCCTTGACGGAGTCAAAAAGCGAGACATAGGTATGCTGTTTCCAGCGGCGGCGTCAACAATGTATTAGTTTGTGATTAGGTCTAGTTTATGGTGAACCACTAGTGGTAGGTCAATGATATTTGGTATGCAGTTGTATTAGCATTGGCACACTTCTTTACCATGGAGATTATTTGGCCCCGCCCCCTCACAATGCCTCAGTCATGGTCTATTGACTTCGAAACTTCACTTAGTTTACATGTATTAGTTTGTGATTAGGTCAGTTTATAGGGAACCACTAGTGGTAGGTCAATGATATTTGGTATGCAGTTGTATAAGCATTGGCATATCTCATTTCCATGGAGATTATTTGGCCACGCCCTCTCAGTCATGGTCTATTGACTAACAATTTTGCTTAGTTTAAATGTTTTAGTTTGTGATTAGGTCAGTGTATGGGGAACCACTAGTGGTATGTCAATGATATCTAGTATGCAGTTGTATAAGCATTGGCATATCTCATTTCCATGGATATTATTTGGCCCCACCCCCTCAGTTGAATCCATAAAAATGGTTGCAGTCAGGGGCATTACTTAAACAAGTAACTTTTCAAATGTACCGTTATAATATTGTATCATTTTTGTCTCGCCTGTGATGAAAGTCGCAGTAGCAGTATGTAAGACATAGGTATTACATTAGGGTGACGACGTTAACTATTTGTTTATATTTCAGAAGGTAGAAGACCTACATTGGCACACTTCTTTACCATGGAGATTATTTGGCCCCGCCCCCTCACAATGCCTCAGTCATGGTCTATTGACTTCGAAACTTCACTTAGTTTACATGTATTAGTTTGTGATTAGGTCAGTTTATAGGGAACCACTAGTGGTAGGTCAATGATATTTGGTATGCAGTTGTATAAGCATTGGCATATCTCATTTCCATGGAGATTATTTGGCCACGCCCTCTCAGTCATGGTCTATTGACTAACAATTTTGCTTAGTTTAAATGTTTTAGTTTGTGATTAGGTCAGTGTATGGGGAACCACTAGTGGTATGTCAATGATATCTAGTATGCAGTTGTATAAGCATTGGCATATCTCATTTCCATGGATATTATTTGGCCCCACCCCCTCAGTTGAATCCATAAAAATGGTTGCAGTCAGGGGCATTACTTAAACAAGTAACTTTTCAAATGTACCGTTATAATATTGTATCATTTTTGTCTCGCCTGTGATGAAAGTCGCAGTAGCAGTATGTAAGACATAGGTATTACATTAGGGTGACGACGTTAACTATTTGTTTATATTTCAGAAGGTAGAAGACCTACATTGGCACACTTCTTTACCATGGAGATTATTTGGCCCCGCCCCCTCACAATGCCTCAGTCATGGTCTATTGACTTCGAAACTTCACTTAGTTTACATGTATTAGTTTGTGATTAGGTCAGTTTATAGGGAACCACTAGTGGTAGGTCAATGATATTTGGTATGCAGTTGTATAAGCATTGGCATATCTCATTTCCATGGAGATTATTTGGCCACGCCCTCTCAGTCATGGTCTATTGACTAACAATTTTGCTTAGTTTAAATGTTTTAGTTTGTGATTAGGTCAGTGTATGGGGAACCACTAGTGGTATGTCAATGATATCTAGTATGCAGTTGTATAAGCATTGGCATATCTCATTTCCATGGATATTATTTGGCCCCACCCCCTCAGTTATGGTCTATTGACTTTGAAACTTTTGCTTAATAGTTTATATGTATTAGTTTGTGATTAGGTCAGTTTAAGATGAACCACTAATGTTAAGTCAATGATATTGGTTATGCAAATGTATTGGCATTTGCAAGTTTCATTTCCATGGAGATTATATAACCCCACACCCTCATTATCATGATTATGGTTCATTGACTTTGAAACTTTTACATAGTTTACAAGTTAATATTTGTGTTTAGGTTTGTTTAAAGGGAACAACTTATGAGATTTCAGTGGTATATAAAAATTTGGTATGCAGTTGTATTAGCATTGGCATATCTCATTTCCATGGAGATTGTTAAGCCCTGTACCTTCAGTCATGGTTCATTGACTTTGAATATTTGCATAACTTACATATTAATTTATTGCTATTTTAATTTCAACATTTGCATTATCAAAATAACAAATAGGCGAGACATATCTCTGTGTTAACAGTTTATTTTGTTAAGTGAAATACTCACTTATTATAAGTCATATGATAACTTTATTTGGTATATATGGGTTCCTTGCAACGTCCACATGTCCATCAGGTAGGGTTCATCTGACCTTGACCTTATTCCATGGATCAGTGATCAATGTTAAAGTTATGCGGACAAGTCTGTATCTCAGATACTATAAGCAATAGGTCTACTATAATTGGTGTATCATGTGTATGGAATGATTGTGAGGTGTGCTTGTCCAATTGACGGGATTCATCTGACCTTGATCACATTTCATGGTTCACTGGGCAATGTTAAGTTTTTGTGGTTTTATCTATTTCTCAGATACTATGAACAATAGGGACACTATATTTGGTGTATGGAATGATTGTTCGGTGTACATGTCCATCTGGCAGATTGCATCTGACTTCAACCTCATTATCATGGTTCATTGGACAATTTTTTAAGACAGTGCCTTAATGCATCATATAACTCAAATGTTTTTGAGATAAATTCACACCAAACCATCATGATGAACAGGAATGGTTTTTTTTTAAAAACTCAATGTGAATAACCACAAATGGTGAAAATCAAAATTGACCCTAAATATTCAATTGCACTTAGTTGAATATAAAACAAAAAATCAATTTGTTTGTAGAAAAAGTCAATCCTAAGTTGCTCTTTAGACGGTAACATTTTATATTAAAAGATATTTGTGCATTAATATACTCATACAAAACATGCAAAAATATGCTCTTTGGAAATGCAATGTAGAATTATCATTTCCATGCCATAGTAATTGAAAAATGTCTAAATATCTAATGTTATTAGCCTTTCCTGAAAAGTAATGTTTGATCAATCCGACTAGAAAAATAATAAATTCTGTAAGTAACTGCCTTTTCAGCACATTCATGATTTGATTAGTTTCTGTGGTTTGTTCTATTTCTCAGATATTATAAGCAATAGGTCAATTATATTTAGTGTATAGAACAATTGAGAGGTGTGCATGTCTGTCTGGCAGGGTTCATATGACCTTGACCTCATTTTCAGGGTTCATTGGTCAATGATAATTTTTCATAATTTTGTCAGTTTATCAGATTCCTTAAACAATAGGTCAACTAAATTTGGTGTATAGAATAATTGTAAGGTGTACATGTCTGTCTGGGTTGGCGTGTATGACCTTTAACTCATTTTCATGGATCATTGGTCACCATCAATGTTTAGATTTTGTGGTATGATCTGTTTCTCTGGTACTATTAGCTATAGGACCACTAGTACTATATTTGGTGTATTGGATGATTGCACGATTAATTGTAAAGTGTACATGTCTGTCTGGGATGGTTCATCAGACTGTCACCTCATTTGCATAGAACATTGATAATGTTAAGTTTATGTGATACTTGTACAGTCAAGGGTATAACTTAAATAAGTTATTAGAAAAAATTACATACATGTCGTTATTGTGGGCTAAAATATAAAAAAAACTGGGATAACATATGTATGTTACATGTTTCAAAGTGGCAATATATATCCTCGCTTTTGTTAAATTTTATACAAGTTCTATTGATATTATTATTGTCTCTATGTATACTAAACTTTAGAAAGATATAACAGTTCATAGTTTGGCAATCATGCATAGTACACCTATGTTATTACAGAAAAAATATGCCTGTAATAACTAAAGGGTGTTATTACAGCTTCTCTACATAACTTCAAAGCCTTTGCTCAGACATATATATATATCATGCTTAATCACAATGTATTTTAATTTATTGTAAGAAATAATGATCAGAGCATGTAATAAGGTTCTGTGCAAGTTTCCAAGTAATTCCCAAGTGACTCATATAATACATGTAACGAGTTACATGCCTGTAATAACTAAGCCTTGTTATTACAGCTAAGTTTCATCACTTGAAATCCTTGTCTCATTGATTTACCATGGTTGATTAAAATGTATTTATTTAGTTTGAAAACTAGTTATCAAGGCTATGTATTAACATGATTAAGTTACTGCGCAAAGTTTCAAGAATTCCCAAGTGGCCACCAAAAATGAAAATACTTATTATTATTTAATAAATATCAAACATATGTTACTACAGATGAAGAAATTTTAGAAATAAAGAGTAGACAACTCATGAAATTATCTGTAATAACTTATTTAAGTTATACCCTTGACTGTTGTAGTAAAACCTTCATATTACAGACTTTCAACTTAAAATCAATGATAAATAAAACAGGTGAGACATTTCAGCGTGTGCACTCTTGTTAAATGTAAACAGAAATGATAAATAGTTGTGTTAAATGAAAATAATCTGTTTTTGTTCGTGTTCTTAAAAATAAGTTTCTAACATTCGAAAAGATCTGGAAATGTTGTTTATGAAATAATTTTACGGAACGAAAACCTATGTTAATAGCACATGCATATGTAGCACTTCACAATAAATAGAAAAAAGATGTGGTATGATTGCCAATGAGACAACTCTTCACAAGAGACCAAATGACAAAGAAATTAACAACTATAGGTCACGGTACAGCCTTCAACAATGAGCAAAGCCCATACCGCATAGTCATCTATAAAAGGCCCCGAAATGACAAATGTAAAATAACTCAAACGAGAAAACTAACGGCCTAATTTATGTACAAAAAAATGAACGAAAAACAAATATATGTAACACAACAACAAAAGACAACCACTGAAATACAGGCTCCTGACTTAGGACAGGCACGTACATACAGAATGTGGGGGGTTAAACATGTTAGCGGGATCCCAACCCTCCCCTAACCTGGGACAGTGGTGTAATAGTACAACATAAGAACGAACTATAAAATTCAGTTGAAAAAGGCTTAACTCAGCCGATGGATACAAATAGAAATACATCTAACAAAAACAAGTGGACGTGGCCGGTTACTTGTACATCCCAACAACAAAAAGACACTAAGTACAGATCTGAGAGTACTCTCAGTTACTGACAGCTAGTTCAAAGCCAGTAACAACTAATAAGAAATCATGTATCTAAGACTAAATTAACAATCATTACACATCCAACATCCAATGGATTTAGTGTAAAGATGTCATAAACAGTCAGGAGAAAAATACGACCTTGTGCAATGCCAAGATACAGGTATCAACAGATTGTAGAGCCATGAATGTGCATATGTATATAACAATAATATTTAGTTTGCTTTTAATTTACTGATAACATAATCAATATCAATACCAATAAAACAGTATTTAAAGATCTAATTACAGAGTTGAATTGGTAACTTAAATTTTTTTTTTTTCCTTTTTTGTCATAATTCCATAAGATTTTATTAGTCCCCTACCGACGAAGTCGACGGGGACTTTAGGTTTGCACTCTGTCCGTCTGTCCGTCCGTCTGTCCGTCCGTCAGTCCGGCAACTCAGCTTTCCACACTTTTTTTCTTCGTTCTTGAAGATATTGATTTGATATTTGGTATATAGTTTTATATAAATGACAAGTTATAGATCAAGTTGATGATTAAGTCCAGAGTTATGGTCCATAAAAAAAATCCATAACTAATGTTAGAGTACTATGTTAAACCATATATCTGTACAAAGGGAGATAACTAATTTTTTAAAAGACATTCTTTGGTAAATTGTTTGAGGAATTTTGTGGCAGGTTTATATGTTATTTTGTATAAACTAATTTTCTGAATGCTACATGTATATATATATATATATATATTATATTTTTTTTTTTTATTAAGTGAAATCCTTTAATTAGATAATATTCTATTTTTATTAAAGTATATATTTCATTACATTACATTGTGTAAATAAAAGTTGTTGCCATTTTATAGATAAGTTACCAATCTATATTAGTTTGTGACAAATGAAAGAAAAAAATATTTGGAACTATTAATTATATTTGATTGTAATTCGAAAATAGATATACATTGTATTACATGTTAGAGTGTTATAAGTTTTCCACACTTTTTTTCGTCATGCTTGAAGATATTGATTGACAATTGGTATATAGTTTTATCATGACAAGTTACAGATCAAGTTCAAATTTTTGTTTCAGTCTGATAATTTTGTGCAGAGTTATGGTCCTTGGACTTGAAAAAATTCTCTCATATATTCAGTTTTTCACACTGTTTTTAGTCATGCTTGAAGATATTGACTTGATATTTTCTATTTGTTTACACCATGACAAGTTATAGAACAAGTTAGCATTTTGTTCCAGTATAATGAATTTTTAAGTGGTAGGGGACTATGTATTGCCATGCAATAATCTAAGAATGCTTGTTTTGAACCATTTTGGATAAGCTGTTTCATTCTTAAATACTAAACGGTCCCGTCCTAATGATAAAGACTTTAAATAAAAAATAACAGAAGATTACCATGAACAATTTGAAATTTTCTTGTCTCATAGATTGTACGAAAAATTTTCATCTATTTATAATTAGATATCAAAAGTGGGGTTAACTGGCAAAAAAGACGAAACCAATATCTCGTCTTTCACATTGGACGGGTCTGCTTCCCGAGTGGTAAACTGTATTTTTTGTGCAATATGTTTATTTTATCCTGTAATGACCATTTATGTCCTGATTGTTAATGAGCATAATCCCCCTCCCCTTTTACAAATTTATATGAGGATGACATATGCATTGTATGTTTAAAACATCTGAGAAAAAATGCTTGTCCCCATAACATAAAGAATGATGACAAAAAGGGGAGAGCATAATTATTGTTATAAACATGATAAAACTGAAGTACACAGTAATTCTATACATATTTATGTCTTATAAAAAAAAATATCCAACTGACTGACTCCAATCTTTCACACAAAAATTCTGTAAACAGGCTACAAATTAAAAAACCTTGTCCTCTTATACAATGTTATAACGTGTAAATGAAATTATTGATTATTTCAAAGATATAATAGTATAAAAAATCTTATAACAGTAATATTTTTGTCAGTATTTTTAAAGTAATATTTTTGTCAATATTTTTAAAGTAATATTTTAGCTGTAATTAGTTTTACGTAATATTTAAACTGGCTTAACCTTTTAACACTGATTTTAGGACTATAAGTGATACATTTCTGTTGCTTTTGATGTTACAGGGGTTCCAGATTCCAAAACATTTGATGTAACATTGATGATCTGTTTGATCAGAAACTTGACATCTATCAATCCGCCAATCAATGGATTTGCCAGTCTACCACTACCAGGGGAAACAACTCCAGGATCTGATCTATCCAGGATAAAATGTTACAGGAATAAACTAGCTCATCATGATAATACAATAGATACTGCTTTTTTCAATACAGCATGGAGAGATATATCAGATGTAAGTATCTCTACATTGATACTTGGATTTATATTTAACATGTTGGACCATGATCCCATTGTCAATACACAGATCAAGTAAATTAATATTTGAATTAAGTAATCAATAAACTTTTCTTATCAAGTGAATTAGCCCCAATGGCTCTTGCATCTGAAGGCCTCTTTGGGACTGATGAAGGATGTCGTCAATCCATTACCATAAACTTTTTAAAAAATCTTCTGCTCTGAAACTAGGCGAATTGCTACCAAACTGTACCTGAATGTTTCTTAGGGTGTCTTGTTTCTAAATTGTATCTGGGGATTTAATATATTAATAAACCTGGATGATGTTGCTAAATATAGAGCAGGTTAAAGGTGGTGAAATGCAGTTTTTGGGATACAATTGCTGTCAAGCAATCTGTAGACTTTTACCATTGACTCCTATTCCAAGGTCTTCCAAGGCCCTCACGTCAACCGTTTTGTGCTTTATATTAAGGAACACCTCAGATTCTTAAGATTGTCTTGTTATAAAAGGTAAAAACAAACAAACAGATTGAATTTAAACAACTATCCTATAATTCTCATCTCATAATCTTCATGTTTTGATGTATCCCTTTTTTATATGCGTTTATTTTTCAATACGGAAAATCAGAATTAAGCAGTATTTATATTTAGGGTTTTATATATTTAGAAACATGTCAAAGAGGGAATTCCGCAGTTATGTTAAAATGCGAGTTCATCATCATCAGAGTTGTTCCGATAAAACTATTTCTGTCAGATAAGTACTGAAGTGGAGTTTTTCTTATATGTTACCATGGTTACCGTTATGAAACTGAAACTTTGATATTGAACTTCCATAAAGAAATGGATAACCATCTAGGACTCTTAACTAACATATAATAAACGTCCATGCTACAATTGACCTAAATCAAATCATAATTCTAACGGTTTGTTTAGGTAATTATGCGCATGCATATTGTTTTCTTGACTTCCAGGGGTATCAGACTAAATGGTTGATCTGGTTTCCCCACTCCATTGATTAATTTGAAACTCAAGAGATCCTTTCTGTGTCTATCTGCTATTTAGGGTTATTGTTGTTGCATGATTTTAAATCATATGCAACATTTAAATGAAAAAAATGTAGTCAACAACGTAATGGTAGAACTAAAACACCCCTTCAGCCGCAATGGAGTCTTCCATATTCAGTCAGGGGACTTACTTAAGTGAGTGATTTTCTAAATCACTGATTCAAGTAACATTATGTCCATAAAGGTTGGAGTTATCTTTCTTTAATAATCACCTATTTAAGTAGTACAAATTAATCACTAGACTAAGTGATTTAATTTTATTGTAGCTTTAAATAGGTATAGAATACTAATGATCCAGGGACTAATTATGTTGCTAAAATTATCACAACCAACATCTGTGTTGATAGGATGACCGGGTCATGTCAGGTAATGACCTTGTACTAAATCTAGGATAATGACATAAAAATCACTGGTTTAAGTATCATACCTCAATTTCCTTTCAAAAAATCACTTCTTTAAGTATTATTATTTAAATAACCCCCACTAATTTCAACACCCCCGGACAGTGAAATTTTGATCGCGAACAGTAGAATTTTATTACATAAACTAGAAGATGAAACCTTGAATTTTACAGGAAAAATACTCCCACTGCTGGGAAAAATCTGTTAAGAAAGTATCAGTTCATTATGTAAAGCCATTTTTACAGCAATTTTTCAACTAAAATAGAATTTGCAGCTAAATGATTGCATCAAAGGCATAGACCTTGCTGCTAAAATGAAGCAAAAAGTTCATTTTTTTTCAATTTTACTAATGAAAAGATATTATCTTAACCTTTGTGTTTAAAATTTTTGTAAAACTACAAAATCACAATTCATGACAAAACTTCGAATTTGCTACTTAAATAAGTGATTTAAAAATCACTTATTTCAATAAGTCCCCTGACTGATATTATCAACGTTAAGAAACTTGTTGCTCATCATTGATCAAAGATTTTTATACAACCGCAAAAAAAATTTTGTGGTCGTATATTGGTATGACGTTGGCGTCGTCGTCGTTGTCGGCGTCATCGTCGTTGTCGGCGTCGTCCGAAGACACATTGGTTTTCGCACTCTAACTTTAGTTTAAGTGAATGGAACTATATGAAATTTTACCACAAGGTTCAATACCACAAAAGGAAGGTTGGGATTGATTTTGGGGGTTATGGTACCAACAGTAAAGGAATTAGGGGCCAAAAATAAGCATTTTTGTAACTTCCAGACATAACTTGTGTGTTAGTGTATGGATCTCTCTGACATTGTACCACAAGGTTCCATATCACAAAAGGAATGCTGGGATTGATTTTGGGGGTAATTGCCTCAAAATTTTAGGAATTAGGGGCCAAAAAGGGGCAAAAAACAAGCATTTTTCTAGTTTCATGACAATAACTTGTGTGTAAGTATATGGATCTTTCTGAAATTGTACTACAAGGTTCCATATAACAAAGGGAAAGCTGGAATTGAGTTTGGGGGTAATTGCCGAAACATTTAGGAATTGGGGGCCAAAATGGGGCCAAAAATAAGCATTTTTCTAGTTTCCAGACAATAACTTGTGTTCAGGTGTAAGGATCTCTCTGAAATTGTACTGCAAGGTACCATACCACTAAGGGAAGGCTGGGATTGATGATGGGGGTAATTGCCTCAATATTTTAGGAATTAGGGGCCAAAAAGGGGCAAAAAACAAGCATTTTCTAGTTTCAGGACAATAAATTGTGTGTAAGTGTATGGATCTTTCTGAAATTGTACTACAAGGTTCCATATCACAAAGGGAAAGCTGGGTTTGAGTTTGGGGGTAATTGCCCTAAATGTTTAGGAATTTGGGGCCAAAAGGGGCCAAAAAACACATTTTTCTAGTTTCCAGACAATAACTTGTGTTCAAGTGCATGGATCTCTCTGAAATTGTACTGCAAGGTACCATTCCACAAAGGGTAGGCTGGGATTGAGTTTGGGGGTGATGAATCATAAGGTGGTTCAAAAAATTTGGGGGGGGGGGGATTTTTTTTTTTTTCCTTTTTTTTTTTCTTTTAAAATTTTCCATTTTAAGTATTTTAAGCACAGTATTGCGCAATAGCAAGAAATATCCAATAGCACAATATTGCACAATAGCAAGAAATTGTCAATTGTACAGTATTGCGCAGTAGCAAGAAATATTTAATTGCACAGTATTGTGCAAAAGAAGATACTTCGTATAAATTGCTTAGATAAATTATTTCTTGACCAATTTCAATGGGGTTTTATTCTTGAATTCTTGGGGTTCTTTAATATGCTGAATCTAACCGTGTATTTAGTTTTTGGATTTTGGGCCCCGTTTTTAAATTGGTCCACATTGAGGTCCAAAGGGTCCAAAATTAAACTTTGTTTGATTTCATCAAAAATTGAACTCTTGGGGTTCTTTGATATGCTGAATCTAACCATGTATTTAGATTTTGGATATTGGACCATAATAGGTGAATGTCCAATTTAAAATTTTTTTAGTTCTTAGACCACATTCATTCTGTGTCAGAAACCTATGCTGTGTCAAATATTTAATCACAATCCAAATGCAAAGCTGTATCAAGCTTGAATGTTGTGTCCATACTTGCCCCAACTGTTCAGGGTTCGACCTCTGCGGTCGTATCAAGCTGCGCCCTGCGGAGCATTTTATTAAAAAAGTAAAATTTCTTTAGCATGTTGTAATAATTTAAGTAACTTTCATATGTGTTTATTTGCTATTATTCCTGTTTTGTTAAAATTTGATCATTGATAGATTGTGAACAGCATGAGTTTATTTATACTTTATACTGTTATGGGTAACTCTCGTACTTTATCGTGTTGTTCATTAACATTTGAACATTTAATGCAGGGAACCAGTTTTAGAGTTGTCGCCCATACAATACTTCGGTCAAGTAAGAATCAAAATATGACGACATGACGAGTAAAATTGATCCGTTCTGTCGATAGACGTCGAATTATATCAAAAGCGATGGCAATAATTAAGCAGATAAATGTGTATGGAAAGGAGTCATGCCCACTGACCTAAAGGAAATTAAATATTTAATGAATTAGAATTGGGATTCCTCTTAGAATTCACGTAGGAAAATGGATGATAAGGTACGAAGTGAGATACCTTCTCTCTATATAATATATCAGTGACTGCTGTGGATAGTAAACTTGGAATTGAGAGTACAAAAATAAAACACAATAATTACATTGTTCATACACTTGTATCAGAGATTGACTATTTTCTAAAGTTGAAAAACTAATCAAATAGAGAATACATGTGCAGTTGAATTATCTTCGAGAATAATATACTAATATCAATGAAAACAATAGCAATCGTATCCCTCAGAGGAATCATGCTCTTTGATTGTATTTTTATATCTAAAAAAAAATAAGTTGTCATGGTAGTTGATACAAAACTGACAAAGCAAAAGTTATAACCAAGTTAAGGTCTATCTAATGTTAGATTTTCTGATAAATCTGAAGATCCATTATAGGAGTTCTTGTCACTGAAATGTAAATTTTTAGAACATTTCAGAGATTTCATACGATTGCAAAAATTTGTGGCCATAGAATTGGTGATAATGGTTTGGCGATGTCGTTTTCATCCACAGACATTTAGTTTCCAGACAATAACTGAGTATAAATGAATCGATCTCTATAAAATTGTACCACAGGCTTCTATACCTCAAAAGCATGTTTGGAAATGATTTTAGGGGTTATTAACCTAACTGTTTAGAAATAAGGGGCCAAAAACAAGCATTTTTCTTGTTTCAGCACATTATAACTTGATGAGTATAAATCTATGGATCTCTATAAAATTGTACCAGAAGGTTCCATACCAACATGAAGGTTGGGATATATTTTAGGGGTTACTGTCCTTACCATTTTGATAGGAATTAGGGGTTAAATACTATCTTATATTTTGTATAAATTATTTTTTTGACCAATTTAAATGGGGTTTAATTTAAATTCTTGAA